CTTTCCCTTCTACTGCACAGGAAACTGAGGCATGGAGAGGCGACACAGCTTATTGTGCCTGGAGAGGAATCTACCTTCCAGGATGTTTGGGTTCTCCAATCTGCCCTTGAGTTCTGCCTGCTTGACCAGTGTTTCTCAATCTCACTTGAAGCCAGTGTTTTTTGTGGCTGTCTTCTGTTTAAGACAAAAATAAGTGAGAACTGTGCAGTGCTGAAGCTGTGCAGTTGGTCTATGTTTTGAGTGATGGTGAGAGATTACTTTCCTGATGAATAAGAAGTAGGGGAAAGGAGATTTTCTTTGCTTTAGATGCTGGCAAAGCTAAAGGCATGCTTGACTCTCACATCCTCTGCCTTCAGGGAAGTCACAAGTCATGGGCTGTAAAGCACTTCACTGGCACTGCTCTTAAATGCATTAGAGGGTTCTGCACACATAGCTGCAAGCAGTGACCCCCAAAAACATGCTGCCAATGTTCTCTGTTCTGTAGGTGATGGCAGCATGTGTTTGTACCTGTGTGTCTGTATACTTTTAAAACGTGAATCTTCTGCCTCTATGAATTCTCTGTTCCCTCTACTACATAGGACTGCATATGGTTAGGTTGCTCCTTTAGTCCTGCTGCACCAGTGACCTCTGTCTTCCCAGTCTGGGGTCTGCTCCTTGTTGGAAAGGCAGAGGTCAGCTTTCATCTGAGCACTGGCAGCCCATACTACTCTTATTCCTTAGCCATAGGCTGGATGAAGCCAGTAGAGCAATTTGACATGTTCATTTCTAAAAAGCTTGGCTTCTTGGGCTTGCTCTTTTTGTAAATGAAAGCTGAGACTCTGTAGCAAACAAGCGACTTTGGATATCAGTGGCATGTACATGGCCCTAAAATGTCTGTCCTTCAATCTAGCCGTGCCCAGGCTTCTTATCTGGATGGTTGATTCAATCATTGGACCATAGCCAGGCAAAAGCAGGCTGTAATTAAGAGGCTGTAATCCTTAAGACCTAAGTTCAGCAGCAGCAGGCACAAAAATTTAAGACAAGTTATAGTGTGGTGAACAAAACAAAAGCCTGGAGAAAAGAACACATGGAGGTCAAGAATCCTGACCTAGAACTACAGGACTCTGGACAAATTTCATCTGAGTTTGATTAGAAAGATTTGAGTCTGCTTGTATTTTAAGCATACTGGTTCAGTAGTCCTTTACAGACTTTCCTAAGAAGCTTGATGAAGTGCACTAGCAGAAAATTTCTTCCTGAGCCTCAGTTTAGGAAACTGGCTCTTGCTTATGTGTGGGTGGACAACTGTTCAGAGGGAACATTGTGCCATGACCCGGTGAGGTCTGAGGATAGTTTAGGTGTGGTGGAAGAGTGTGAGGTGTTGAGAATTCATCGATACAAAGCGGAAGCCCAAGTCTTTGGCACATTTAACACTGGACTGGATACAAGATCAGTTAAAGAAATAATCTGGCATTTGTAAGGAGAGGGACTTTTGATTGATTGTTGATTTTGTAGGTCTTTTTATGTCTCTGAGCTTCAGTCTCACACTGTAACATGAATGACAGCACTAGTCTTGGATGAGAACAAAGTCAGTTGTCCGGACAGCATCATGTTTCAGACAGTTTCTGTATTCTGGTAAAATTAGAAACCTGGCAGAGCAGTTGTGCATTTGCCATATTTCTTTGAGGGTATCCCAGTCATTTTGGGTATGTGGAAGGAACGTTCTGTGCAGTAGCTGGAATACATCTCAGACACTAGCAGGGATTTGGCAATGTCAGAGTTGCCTATCAGGATCATCATAATACTAATTTAGTGTTTAAGATTACAATGTAATTAGCAACCGCTTAATTAATTCCCTCTTCCTCTGTAATACAGGGCAATCTGTTAGCTGCTTCTTTTCAAGTTGGAGGTGATAATTACTCTCGTGGACCAGAGATAAAATAAGAACCAACTCAAGCCTTCATGCAAGGCTGATTTGAACCTCCCTCCACTTCAAAGTTGTTCTTTGAGGTTGGGAAGATGCTTTGAAAGTTTTTCTTCTGAATGTGACTGACTGTAGCTGTGCAGCTCCTGAGTTCACCAAGAGCAAGAGAGCCTGAAAAGCTCAATTTCCAATCTGGAAAACAGGAAATGTGAGAAGCCTGACCTCCACAAGGAAGGAGTGTGTCTCTGTAACTGATTCCCAGATTGATCTCCTCTTTGATGCGTCTCTGAGCTTTCAACTATTTCCCTATTGTCAGTTCCAGCAACTTTGTCTCAAACCAGATTTGATTCCCTTGCTTTCTTGGCTTTCACATTACATTGACTGTGCTTTATACCCCACACTAGCCATGTTTGCCGTGAAAGGGGGTGGGAGGGGGGGTGGTATTCTGTCCCAGAATGGGGTGCTACTCCTTCAGTAGGGAGGTTTGAGGCAATCTGACTTTAGACCTGAGTTATGCAAATGGTTCTTTATGGCAAGAATCTTGAAGTTCAAATGACAAGTTAGTGGACAGGTTCATCTAGGTATACATTCCCATCTCTCCCCCCAAGTAAACTTTATGTGGCCTGTATATTTCTGTTCTGTTTGCTGACTGTGGAAAGAGAAGAACTTTAGTTGTAGGATAAAATTGTGAAATACCCTAGATCCATTTTCAGAAATCATTAAGGCACTTAGGAATCTAATTCCATTGTCTGTGGCTATGTCTAGCTAATAAGCTTTGGCTGGATCCCCATATTGTTTTGTAATTGGGTATGTGACCCTTTGGCCCTCTAGTCCTTTGTGCAGTTGAATATCCCCAAAAGTACCACTGCTTGTGCTAATCGGTGAGCTTGTCTTCTAACCATCTACCTAGACTTAGCTCACAGTGCACCAGTGTGGTTAGGCAGGTTGGAGGTGTGAAGATGAAGTATGGGATAACTGGTGGGGCACAAACAGGTTCTTCATGGCCTCTATTACTAGCAGCAGATCTTACTGTGGAAGCTGACAGACAATGGGAGTCCACTATACAGAGATTATGAAAATGCTTTGAGCTTCTCAAATGGAAGATAGCATAGGAGTGCCAAGTGTTGGTTATTTTTAATGGCTATATGTGAATGAGGTCCCTGAACTGCTTTCTATAAATGTTTGTTGAAATTTAAATATTTTCATTTCTTATGAGTCTGTTACTGTAAACTCCACTGTGGAGCTAAAACTTTGGAACTTAAGCTACATATATTCTCCCTAATGGAAGGTTTGTTGTTGTGATCCAAGATACTGCAGAGCTTGCTGAACGTTTCTGGTTTCATTTGCAGACGGCAGTTATCACCTATGACTACCTCACCTCCCTTCGGAGTGTCCCATACGGATCAGAGGAGTATGACTTCCTCAAATCACAGGTAGGTGATAGCACTGGTCTGCCTTCCTCGGAAACTGCAAGGCACGGGTGCGTTGCCAAAGTCATTGCTGCAAAGCAAACTGTCAAGCTGTCAGCTTAATAATTCAATATGCCTTCTACCAAATTGGTAACAGCAGAGGCAAACTGTGCTGCATATTACGTAAGATTCTTGCAGGACCTGCATCTCCCAATGGTGAATATCCCTCATCAAGAGTAACGTCACGCAACCAGTGCTCACTTACATCCATTCAAGTTCTCAGTGTATGGGATAAGATGTGTTTGTGCTCTGTCACCGTCTCTCTGCTGCCCAGACTGGTTGTATGGAGGTCAGGTGCTGGGAGGGGACTGGCAGTGCTTTCTTAGCCTGCTTATTGGTTGGTAATGGCGATAACATGAAGGCTGAGGGATTTAAGTAGAAGGAGTGTGTTGGAGGGGAAATAATAGGGATGAATCAGGCTTGCAGATCTCTGAAGATATCAGAATTGGGCAAAGAAAGGTACATCTAATTGCAAAACATATTGTTGTGTTTTGATATCACTAATTAACATGAATAGAAAAAGCATTTCTAGTGAGAAGGTAAGCACCCCTATTGCTCCTCTCAGTCCTGTGCTGCACCTTTCATTCCAGCCTACAGCCCTACAATACCTTGAGCTGTGAGTGTCACTGAGTTTTAGTTGAGTGCACGTGGTGTGTATATAACCAGGGTCTCTCTGCTATTCCAGCTCAGGGCCTCTTTGCAGTGGGAAATGTAGCTTGTGCTGAATTAGGCCAGTCTGCATAGTATGTTTGAAGTAAGGTCTTTAACCTCATTTTTCTTCTTAGTGCATGTAGGATTTAGGCCACTGGTGTGGTTTTAATGCATGGGGTGATGCTTTCCAGTGACTCTCAGACTGGAGGGATTCTAAAGGAAACAGCGGTGGGCCAGGTAGAAATCAGTGGCATTGGACTCCAGCATGCTGTTAGTATTCCTCTGGCAGAAAATCCACATCATCATCAGTGTGGTCTTAGACTATTTGGGATAGTTTGCAGAGAGACTTCCTTGGCTTGTTCTCATCCTCTCCTGTCTAAAGATGCTAAGGTATTCTGCTGTATCTCCTCACCCCAGATGAGTGGCACTGATGCTCTGGCCTAAACTGGAGATAGAAGTGATGGAGTCTGGAGCTTCACTTTCCATCTCACTGCCCATCTCTCTGCCGCATGCCTTTAAAACCTGGTTTGCAGAATAGTTGCTTGTAGCTTTCTTGAGCGACACCCAAGTTATGGAGTTATCAGTGCTGTGAACAGCTTGTCATTTGGCAGCGGTTTGCAGCAGCCCTTGCAAATTCCTGACCTTTTGCCGTGTCTCTCCACGGCTTCATTAACCTCTGTCATGCAGGTTTTGATGGTTTGTCAATTAATGCCCCAGGCAGCCAAAAAGAACCCTGTTTGTTGGCGCTGCATGGAGCTGTGCTCTGCCTGCTTGGCAGCCAAGAGTCAGCCTCTGCATGTGGCAGAGCCAGTGGCAAGTGCAGCATGTCAACATGGCACAAGAGAACTCTGTGGTGTGGCCAGCCTTTGGTTACATCAAGAGGAACGAGCTGGGAGATGAGAGGAGGAAGTAGGTGCAGGCATAGCATGAGTTAGCAAAACTTAATGACCTGTGGAGACCTGTCCTGCTGTTGGCAGGTATTATGGAGGGCCACCACTGAGCCTGACTGTGGCAGCCCTTGTGGGTTCCTCAGCAACATCCCTGTAGTGCTTGTGTTAGCAAAGGATCAACTTGGCAGGGGAGAATTTTTTGGGCCTGGGCAATTGCATGCCAAACCCTTTATCTCAGTGCAGCTCTCAGCAGCTGGAAACCAAGTCTTTACCATCTTGCAGCTCTTTTAACACTGTGGGAGCTGATGTGGTTCGTCTCAGACTAGCTCAGAATGACTTTTAAGAAGTTCTCCCATTGGAATTGGTACTAAAGGTTAGTCACTGGATGGGACCAAGAGGATGTGAGTAAGTGTTGTGTGTGAAGGATACTTATCCAGATGTTGCTTCTAATTGCCTCTGTCCTGGATAGATCTCTGGCGCTCTCAGCCGTTCATTGTACTCTCTTGGCTTTTTGTCCTTCGAGTGAGGCCAGCTTAACCTCTTCTTCATATGCTGAGTGTTTGAAATTTTCTTTTAAGCGTGCGTATGAATTGGTTACCAATTTCCAGCCTCACTTTTGGTGCTGTGCTTAGAACAGAGATTCTGTGAGGCAGGGGTTTGGTGACCTTGGGACTGTGGATAGTGCCAGCAGGTCTGGATGCAGCTGCTGTGCCTCTGTCGATGGTGAGGGGGTGCAGCTGCATGTGTGTCTGGGATGGGCTTGCAGCTGGGAGTAGAAAAACACTTTTTCTGTGCAGCTCCTCCTGGTACTCAGCATACTGGTGGGTACTACTCTAGTGCAAATGATAATACTTAACTCCTTCTCCATGGATTCCCAGTCAGCCATTAAACTGGAGGCTCTGAATTACCCATGGCTTCAGATGAGAGATGGGAAGCCTCAGTGGCAGCACTAGTCCCTGAGCCTGTTGGGGCCAAAGATGGATATAGTTATTAGGAAACAATTAAATGCAAAGCTGAAATGGGTTCCCCAGGGGCTTTTAGCCAGGTTCCCACTTAGCTCCAAGGAATTCTCTTCAGTCTTACCTTGGCTGTCAGTCCCTCATGGGCTGCTCTTGGTGCTAATGCTCTCAGCCACTCAGTTCCCAGCAGCTTTTTATGGCCAGCATATTGAGGGTGTATTTACTACTCTCCACGAGGCAGGAAGCAGTAGCTGGAAATGCACTGAGTGTCCCTGGGGTTGGTTTGCCTGTCTGTGGTTCTCCCATCAGCCAGGAGATACAAGAATTCACCTTCCTGATGGCACTCACAGCCCTTCCTCAGCAGCAGTCAGGAGAAAAGATGTCTTATCCTTTCCATTCCTGTCCTTGCTTGTAGCAGCGATAAACCTGCTTAAGTGGTCAGGCTTTATGTCCATCCCAGTGGTTGCTTCGTCTCACCACTGGTGGCTGGACTGTATAGGTAACTTGATCTTTTTCCTGAGTTAAGAATCCTTTCCTGAGGTGTCTGCCTTTTTCCCGCATATGATGATAATGCCAGTGTACTGATGTCAATGCCAGTGGTAGCCATAGTTAGCCTCAAGAAATTGGATGTCTGTAGGTCTAGTGTCAGGAGCATTAGGGGAGATAGGAGCTTTCTTCACTTCATGTCTATTTCATTAAATGATTCTGCCCATCTCTGCACATGTAAGCTTGGGCATTTCTTCCCGTTTCTGCCCCTGCTTGTACTGGGTCAGAGGAAGAAGGAGGGCAGCCTGCTCAGTGCCATTTCCTTACCTATTGCTTTCTCAACAAACCATTTTGTTCTGCAGAGGGCTGCATTTCTCTGACATTCTTCCACCTCCTTGAGTGTTTCCCTCCTTGAGTGTTTGTCTCCTCATTCTGAAGTCAGCCTACTCTGTGACATTTCCAGTGTGCCTCTCATCGTAGCACCTGGATGTCTTAGTTGACACTTCCTATATTGCTGGCATCAATTTCTGTTGATCCTGCTGTCAGTCAGGAGGTATCTCACAACATGCAGTTTGTTTAAGGGCTGACATCAATAGGCTTCTGAGTTGTCAGTGTAGTAAGAGGATTGCAATGGGTTGGTCATCTTGCAGATTTCAGCACTAGTGGCCGCAGTTGAAAATCTTGACCAGAGCATTTTTTGTTGTTTTCCTGTGTAGGATAAAAGATTACTGCTGTGAATGTGGATACAGGTTTTTTTTTAATGGAGAGGAGATAGCAAGGAGAGAAAGAATCTGTGGTCAAGGTGTCTTGGGAGACAGTGGGAATCCATTCTTGAATTAACTTTGTTGGCTACAGAATTGCTTTGTCAGGGAAAAGCCATTTGGGGAGGTTAATTAGCCTTCTTCCTTTTGAGAGCAGAAAGAGGATGTTCTCATTCAAACTCCTGGTTATTGGGCTGTGAGTATCTGGGCAAATATTTGGAAGGTGTAACCTTGTGCCATCATTATACAGAATATGATTTCTTTCTCCTTGGAGCCTGTTCCTGGCGTTTGTTGTGTTTGCTTCTCACGGTGAGGTGGGTGTTTTCAAAATGAGCTGTGTCTCATAGTGAAGTTGCCCGACTGAAGGATCCTGGAAGGAAAACGAGTGGGTGTACGTGTGTGTGTGTTTTTAAACGTACACTTTCTGGATAGTTCAGACCAACAAAATAGCCTGTGTCTTTGGACTTCCCTATGTAACACTGTGTGCCTTAAAGAATAGGAAGTGATGCCCTAAAATTGTTTCTTCATGATGGATGTGGGCTGCATCTGCAGAGAGAAATCCCCAGGAGCTCTCCATGCTATTCCTTCAAAAAGGCAACAGTGAGTGGGGACTGTGGGCTCTTCTACACCACAGCCAGCGTGTGCGGTGGTGGCTCTCTTTGCCTGTGCTTCAACCTGTCGTGACCTGGGATGAGAAGAAGCAAGTGGACTTGCCTAGGAGACATGGAATAGCCATTAGGTGGCAGTGACTTTCTGTCACCAAGCTAAATGGGAGCCAGTAATAGAGGTGAAGAGTTTCACAGCCCATCCACAGTCCCTGAGCTGATCATGTTAGGTTGCCCTATTATGTGCTCCCCAGGATATCTCTTCATCTAAAAGGAATGGTTGACGCTAATGCAGTCCAAAAAAGCTACTAGCAGGGCCAGCTGGTGGCTTGATGACTCTACATTTGAGCACTGCTGTCTAGCAAACTTCCTGCCAACACATAAAGCATGAAAGCTTTGCGCTGAAAACACATAACAAGCTGTAAAATAAATCTTATAATTATAAGACACTTCCTTTTTCTCCTTCTGCTTTCTAGAGTGGTGTCAGCTGAATATTATGGCCACAGCATCTCTAGGTTTTAATTTTGTAGCATTAGGAAGGCCCATTTTTTGGGGGGTGTGTGCCTGTAAAATAGGATATTCTTCAGTCTTCTGCAGTGATTTATGCAGGGA